GAACAACCTGCCTCCAGAAGCGGTGAATGCTCCAACACTGGAAGTTTTTAAGAAAAAACTGGACAGCCATTTGTCCGAAATGGTATAGGGTTTCCTGCCTGAGCAGGGGGTTGGACTAGATGACCTCCAAGGTCCCTTCCAACTTTATCATCATCATCATCATCATCATCATCATCATCATCATCATCATCATCATCATTATTATTATTACTTTGTTTAAAGTACCTGCTGATGCACAAAATTAACTATATTCCATTCCCCGCCCCCCTTCACTAAAGCCAAGAGAACTTTCCTATAACTTTGGCAGGTGATGGAGGGAGCAACTAGACAGATAATTGATAATGTAAAAATGCATCCATGCTTGGGGCCAAAGCTGAAGGAGCAGCAGCTATGATAAGAAAGTAAAAGAGTATCTTTCCCCCATTGCTAGTTGGAGGGGGCTGATATTAAAAGCTAAAAAAATCCATAACTTTTTATGAATGAGGATTATGTACCTCACCAAAAGAGAAGATATCCCAGTAAAGTGCTATAGAAAATACATGGAATTTGGGTCAATAGTTTCCAGCATGCTTTCAAGGAAGTTTAAAGTTTTTTTTAATAATTCATGATGCAAACATCATGTGAAACATTTGCTCACACTGGGAAGCAAATAGCTCTGGCCCGCACATTTAACACTCACTTATCATTCCATTTTCCGGTCCATTCAACTTCTCCCCAGGGATTTCGGATCCGGATCAGTTTCTGCATGCTGCCTCGGAAATTCACCTGGTAGGACCAGAAGAAAAAAAAATCAAGCTACTAATAGACAGAGTAACTGAAAAAGGAAACAAAGTACTTTATTTTTTTTGGCTACAAACACACACACACATACATGCACATAGATGTACCTATTCATACAGTATATATCTCTATGATAATGAAATAAATTGCTCTCTAGTGGGAGAGGGGCCAATTACAGCTTCTCGTGCAATTCTTGGCAAAAAAGCTAAATGTAAAGTGGTTTGTTTATTGGTAGTGTGTGCATGGGCAAGTGGGGAGAAGCAAAGAGAGGCAAGGATGATACATGAATCACAGTGTCATTACACAAATAACACGAGATTGTGTGAGACATCATGATGCAAATTACATAAACCATACAAAAATCTCTTCAGGTTAAATGAAGCAACTGACTGATAAGAAACCACGCAGCCACAAGAGGGAAGAACACTCAACAATCTCACAGAACAACTACTTGAGCAAAGGAAACATCAAAACACTGGACACAAAATTGGTTCATGGGAATATCTTATCATGTTCTGTGTAGCCACCATATTCTTTGGAATAGCCGCCACCCTGAGATTCAAGTATGAGTCAAGTATGTAATACCAACACTCCTTTCCCCTTTTTTCAAAATGAAGACCTTACCTCTTCAGCTCCTGTGACAGAGTACGCATGCCCTTTGACCAGCTTCTGGGTTGTGACTGCCTCAGTTTCGGCAGCATTTGTGATCTAGAAACATGAAGAAATTAAGTTCTACTTATCTCGAGTCCAAAAAACTAAGACAGCAATAGGACAGATCTTAACTGAGGAATGCTACGGGTACAGAATCAATTAGAAAGAGGTTTAACTTTACAATAGCTAGTAGTCCTAATGAGTAATGGAAATGTCTGGGTCAGAAGCAGAAATGGGTTGCCACACCATGCTAACCCATAATGTGATTTGTTGGTTGGATAGTTGGTTTTATAAACCATAGTGCATGCCTTATATATTCAATCTGCTGTGATTTATTTGTTAAATCATGATTAAAGTGGTTTAGCACAACAACAGACTGAGGCTGGTGGTACAGATAGTCTTCACTTAACAACCATTCATTAAACAACTGTTTGAAGAAGTTACAGCAGCACTGAACAAATGGTAGTTATGCCAGGTCCCCTAAGTTAGGGCTGTTGCAGCACTCCTGCAATCATGTGAACAAAATTCAGAACTTTGACAGCCCGCCTGCACTTATGACTTCAGGAGCACTTCAGCTCCCCCCACCCAGCCATTTCCCCCCTCCACACATCCTGTCTCTGTCTTTTTGGCCATCTGCCACCTTGAATGTTTGCCATTTGCTTGAAAAAAAGTCCCCTATCAGGACTAGAGCCATCTGTATCTTTCATTAAAACTTTATTGGAGAGGGGCCAGCCTATCAGTTTCAAGCCTGAAATTCATGCAACTAGCATTAATTTTGGCAGCAAGAAAACAATCTTCCTATTTTCTTTCCTATTTGTTGAGACAAAGTATACTGACCAGGATGTTTTAATTGGGGCGAGGGAAATTTCCAGCTCAATTTCCTATTTGGAATGAAACTGCATGTGATGATAGCACCCAAGAGGTTTTCAACATATATCTGCCCTAATCACATGGACAGCCAGAAGGGCCACAACAATCAAGCAAAGACAAGCTCTCATCAGCCAATTCTTTCCCTGTGTCACAGTTGATCACACCCTAGGTTATTTTCCCCAACTGCGTTTCAGTTCTAAAAATCATCTTTGCTGGTAGGAAAGTTGCTGAGAATAGTATGTAGGTAGAAAATGTGGCCCAAAATTGGTGGGGATTCAGCATTGTTCTCTTTTTTGTGTGTTCCTCCTACAATTTAAAATGAAACTCTGGTAAAGTTTACATGTGATGGGTAACTCCCTATTTAGAGACGTGTTTTCAGATCTGACATTATCACAGCTGTAAAGGTTGGCAGCTGAATTAAAGCAGTCATTGGTTGGGTTCCTACATAATCTCAATGTTTTGGGTGAAGCCAGCAAGTGTGGTTTATAAACCATGATTTAGAGCTTAGCATACTGTATGAATTCTCTTGGCCTAATTTACAGTTGTGATAAAATTTAGTGGGTAGAGAAGCTCATTGGATAACATCAGCAACAACATTAGAGAAATATACATAGACAATAAATAATTCCTTGGCATTTGCCCTTAATATTGAGAAAGTCTGCTTAATAGTCGAAGCTTTACCGTTTGGTCTAGTTCTGGAGAAATTACTGTATACTGAGAAATATAAGTGAAGAGTCATCATTGCGACTTTAGCATAAAAGAAAACCTTACAGAGAACATCTGTATATGCTTCACAGCTAACAAAGAGCCAGGATTGGTAGGAGAGACCACAGTTATATGTGAAACTCATCAAAAGACCTCTTTTGCATTACCTCAGATAATTTTCTGCCACACTATGAGGGTTTTCTATTCTGTTTGGATTAAAAGTGCTTTCAAAAGGGCAAAAGAAAATCTGAATACTCATACCAGCAAGATTTAATACTGGCAGAGGAACAGTTTAACAATATTCACTATTAATGATTTGCTCAGAATCTGCTACTGAGTCAGTTGCTTTACTTTACTGTCTTCTTATTAACTAATCTGGTTGGCCAGAAATTAAAATGACTCACCTTTTACTTTCAAGTTTTTCAGTGAAGATTTCCAGGAATGTTGCCTAGTTCTGGTCAATCACTGTAGCTATTAGACGGTTTGAGGCTTAGCGTTTATTTATCCAAATGTAGAAAGATGCCTAGACACTAAGCAGCAGCTGATTCCTCATCTATAGCTTTCATCAACCCATATATTTGCTGCAAGAGAGGCTAAGCAGCATAGGAATATAGGGGAAGATACAGTACAGTAACTCCATTCTTAAAGAAGGGAAGACTTATGGATTCTCCAGCTTTTGGGTATGATTTCTGTTCTAGCAAGAAAGTTGAAATTGTGCACTATCATGCCACTATCAATTACCTCAGTCAAACAATTCCTTTGCACCTAAAAGGACTTTGAGAATATAGTATTAACTTACATCAATAGAACACCCAAGGAGAGAACCTTTCTGAAGAGCTTTCTGGATTATTTTGAACAGGTTTGGTGGTGCTTTCTGCAGCTCATACCACTCTGCAATTCCACCAGTGAAGTCTTCAAAGCCCTCAGTAGTGCTTCCCCCTGAAAGACCTTCATAGGAACCATTCACCCTGTGAAAGATACAACCCAAACTTTTAATATTTAATAACTTTGTCTGTGAAATCCATTCTTAACAGAGATGGAACTCCATTCTTAGATGTCTACACTGTCTCTTTTTTTCATTCATGAGAAATCAAACATCAACATTTGATAAAGTAGACCACAACCTACTCCTTGGTAGGTTGGAAAAAGGTGGAATAGACAACATCACCACCAGATGGATCTGTAGCTGGCTGGCAAACTGTACTCAACGAATAGTCCTCAATGGCACCACATCCACATGGAGAGAAGTAAGCAGTGGGGTACCACAAGGTTCCGTCTTAGGCCCAGTACTCTTCAATATCTTCATCAATGACTTAAATGAGGGAATTGAAGGGGAACTCATCAAATTTGCAGATGACACTAAACTGGCAGGAGTAGCCAACACCCCAGAAGACAAACTCAGGACCCAAAAAGATCTTGACAAGCTTGAACAATGGGCCCTATCCAACAAAATGAGTTTCAATGTGGAGAAAAGCAAAGTTTTACATTTAGGCAGGAAAAATCAAAGGTACAAGTACAGATTGGGTGAGACCTGGCTCAAAAACAAGTAAGTATGAGAGGGACCTTGCAGTCCTAGTGGACGATCACTTGACTATGAGCCAGAAGTGTGCAGCAGCAACCAAAAAAGCTAATACAATCCTGGGTTGTATAAACAGAAGCAAAGAATCAAGATTAAGCGAAGTATTAGTACCGCTTTATAAATCCCTAGTAAAACCACACCTGGAATACTGCAGCCAATTTTGGTCACCATATCACAAAAAAGATGTTGAGAGTTTGGGAAAAATTCAGAGAAGAACAATTAAGATGATCAAAGGCCTGGAGACTAAAACATATGAAGAACGGCTGCGGAACTTGGGTTTGGCTAGTCCAGGGGTAGGCAACCCAAAACACTCAAAGAGCCACTTTGACCCGTTTCCCACCGAAAACAAAACACTGGGAGCTACAAAACCCTTTTGATATCTAAAATGAAGATAACACTGCATATATCCTTTTTTACCATTATATATAGGTAAAAAAGGGTATATGCAGTGTTATCTTCATTTTAGATGTCAAAAGGGTCTCTCTGTCTCTCTCTGTCTCTCCCCCTCTCTCCCTGTCCCTCTTTCTTTCTGCCCTTAGTCTGCCAGTCCTCTTCCCCCACTTTTTCTTTCTTTCTTTCTTTCTTTCTTTCTTTCTTTCTTTTTCTTTCTTTCTTTCTTTCTTTCTCTTTCTTTCTTTCTTTCTTTCTTTCTCTCCTCTCTCTCTCCCCTTCTCTTTTTCTTTCTCTCTTTCCTCTCCCTTTTTCTTTCCTCTCTCCCTCTCTCTCTTTCTCTCTTTCCTCTCCCCCCTCTCTCTTTCTCTCCCTCTTTCTTTCTCTTTCCTCTCCCTCTCTCTTTTTCTTCTCCCTCTGTCTTTTTCTCTTTCATCTCTCCCTCTCTCTCTTTCTCTTCCCCCTCTCTTTCTCTCTCTTTCTCTTTCTCTCTCTCTCTCTCTCTTTCCTCTCCCCCCCCCTCTCTCTTCCCCCCTCTCTCCGATCTTCTGCTTACCTGGCAAGCTGGCTTCAAGCTGTTCTCCAACAAGGGGTAGGCAACCTCGGCTCTTTTATGACTCATGGACTTCAACTCCCAAAATTCCTGAGCCAGCATATCTGGGTTAGCTAGCTCTCGCCTGCCCTTCCTGCTTCCTGCTGAGACGCAGCCAAGGGGGGAGCCCCACCCAAAAAGCTCATGGGAGAACACGGTGAGTCCACTCTTTTCACACACACACACACACACACACACACACACACACACACACACACACACAGAGAGAGAGAGAGAGAGAGAGAGAGAGAGAGAGAGAGAGAGAGAGAGAGAGAGAGAGAGAGAGAGAGAGAGAGAAAGGCAAGTGCCTCTGTCTCTGTCTCTGTCTCTGTCTCTGTCTCTCTCTGCAAATGGCAGAGGAGGCTGGGAGCCGCAGGGGAAGGCTCAAAGAGTCACATGCGGCTCCGGAGCCACAGGTTGCCGACCTGTGGGCTAGTCTAAAGAAAAGAAGAAATAGGGGAGACATGATAGGAGTATTCCAGTATTTGAGGGGCTCCACAAAGAAGAGGGGGTCATGTTATTCACCAAAGCACCAGAGGGAAGGACGAGAAACAATGGTTGGAAACTGATCAAGGAGAAAAGCAACCTGGAATTAAGGAAAAACTTCCTGACAGTGAGGACAATTAACAAGTGGAACCACCTGCCTCCAGAAATCGTGGGCGCTCCAACACTGGAGATTTCAAAGAAGAGACTAGACAGTCACTTGTCTGAGATGGTATAGATTCTCCTGCTTGAGCAGAGGGCTGGACTAGAAGACCTCCAAGGTCCCTTCCAGCTCTATTCTATTCATGTGACTCTATCACAAAGAGTTATTTCTCCCTTGGCCTGTTATCCACCATTATGCCGTATTAAACTTTGTATATAGTTTATGCATATGTAAACTATGCCCTGATGTTATCGGTATGGCTTTATGTTACTCTTGTTTTGGCTCCAAACAAATGTCATGGGCTGTGAAAGTTAGAAATTAATGTTTTATGAGGAATATGGGCAAAGCTTAACTAAAGAAGCTTTCCCCCGAAGTACAATATGGAATATGGATGCTCAAATCAGTATTTTTTCTACTTGGCATAATATTAATCAATATTAAATCACAAAGCTGTTCTGTTCAGTGCCTCCAAAATTATGCAGTTTTTTTTTCAAACATGTTTTTATAATTTTCCTAAACATAAGCCCTTTAAAATTATTTCTGAGCTGATAATTGTCTTACAAATGATAGAGAAGAGGGAACCATATTTTGGTTCAAATATTAATCCAGAAAATACAAATTAACAGGGAGATAATTATTTTTTTCTTTTCTTTTTTCTTTCTTTCTTTCTTTCTTTCTTTCTTTCTTTCTTTCTTTCTTTCTTTCTTTCCTTCCTTCCTTCCTTCCTTCCTTCCTTCCTTCCTTTCTAGCTCACAGATATAAAGAAGCAAAATACAAAATAAAATTATCCAACTTAATCCTCTCCCTGCAGGTATTATTTAAAAAAAAAACAGAAAAACACATTTTGGAAAAGGATTGCCCCCATATTGCATTTATTTTTCTTTCTTTTATCCAGCCATGCTTACCTACCTGTATCTATAAGTCAAGGGAAAAGATTAATGGATATTGAATACATTGCTTTTATTACTATCTTAAAAATGTGTTATTAAAATGTACTATCAGTATTATTCATAGGATATTTGCAAAATGTTAGTAGGAAAAGCAATGGAAAGTTACTAAAACATTAAAGGTATGGGAGAGGAGAAATTAGAAATACAATGGTGTGTGCAAGGATTATGAACTCTGTTTAGTAGTTCTGTTAGAACAAATTTCTAGTCTCTGAATTCTTTCATTTTAAGCTTGTTCTTTTCAGCCAAGTTCAAGCTACCAGACTTGGGGTTCAGACATGTTAAGTAGTGCTTCAGAGTCATAAACCTGTCCACAATATCATACCATAGCTTTGTGTTTCACTTATGGGAAACAAATCTAGTATAAAATAAGAGAAGATTTCTGAAGTTGGCATAAAGCAGCAGAATGTTCTTAATCTTTACTTACTTGGCATAGGCCTTCTCCAGTAGAGCACTCCAGAATTCATTTCTCTCTGCTGAGTGAACAAAAAGTAATTCTCCATCTTTGGTCGGCAATCGATCATCAACAACAACATCTGTCCACTCTCCATACTGCCAGAACTGAAAGGAGAAAGAAAACAATCCAGTCAAAGCCCAATGACATAAGCTATAGCCATGCTCTTCTAGGTCAACAATGCTGGTTGGAAATTTTGGAGGCTGGGAAGATTGCCTTGGCAAAGAACATGGTTTTATTCAAGAACAATTGAAATATATAACTACAGAACTGTCTGTGGAGCTGGAAAAGACTACAAGCATCATCTAGTTAAGCCGTTCATGAGATGAGACTGTCCATGCTTTTCTTAA